GCCTTGAGGCACGGAACATATGTACCAAATATGCCAAAGATGTCTACAAAATTATCTCAGTTATTATTAAAAAACTGATTATTTTTGAAAACTTTGCCACCCTGTATCTCAAAAGTTAAGGCGTTTAGGACATACGTCCATAGGAAGTTTTTTCCTTGAAATGGGTCCAAGAATTACCTCCTTAAATATTAGCATGTGTTTAAGGAACACCCTGTATAAATGTTAGTTTTCGGTGGAGAATGAACCTCAAAATATCATTTATATATGAACACAGAAAATACACGAATATTGAGAGCTTGTTCAATTTTTTAACAAGGTCCTGCTCAAAATTACATTACATTTTATAAAATAAATCTGATCTTCTTTGGATTGATTGCTATTGTATCGCATAAAATTGACCTATAGTCATATTTGACGTTATCTAAAGCTATATTTGATTAGCATTAAAACTGATGAATAGGGTTAAGGAGAAATTTTGGAAAGTTCAAATTAACAGTGAAATATCACCCACCTTAAATTACACCTTTACCACTATCACAAAAAACTGAAACTGATGCAGCTGCTTTAGTCGCGAAATACCGGTAAAGACCAACGAAACGTTCTACTCTAGAATACGAACCTCAAAGGACTGAATTCTCATTCACCCTGCCTTCTTTATAAGTAAGTCAACTCAACTCTGACCTATGATCCCGAATAGAAATAAAAAGAGATGGCGAAATCTATTTAGAAATACGAAAATGATAAGTAATTAGCGAATCAATAAAAAAACAACAACAGAAAGTATGATAATTTATTTAAAACACTCCGTGATTTTTTTGATTGATTTAACGAAAATTATTCGGTGGAAAAGTTGGAGTTTTTGCATTGATTTTGTTTCCCAAAATTTTAGGGAAGGTCCGTGGAACAGTTTTTTGTGTTTCCAGTTTTTTAATTGAAATGAAGAATACAAAATTTGAAGGGAAATAAAAAGAAAACAAATAATTATCAATGGAAATTTGTTGCTCTTCATCTCAAATTAGTCCAGTTGATAAGTGCTATTTCGCAAAATTCCAGTTTACCTTCACAGAAAATTATGTATTTAAGAAATACTTTTTTGCGAGATTTTCACTCAATGGTTTTACAAAAACGAAACACGTGTTTCGCTATACAATAGCTTCTTCAGGACTGTCTATACTAACTGAAATCTATATATTCAATGCTTTATACAGTGCATTTCTTTAATGCCCCCCCTTTCATTTTTTGAAGGGGCCAACTCAAAAAATTGAAATTAGAAATGAAATTAATGCATGAATACTATAGAGGGTGTTCCTTAAATACATGCTAATATTCAAAGAGGTAATTCTTAGACCCATTTTAAGAAAAAAACTTCTTATGGACATATGTCCTAAACGCCTTAACTTTTGAGATACAGGGTGGCAAAGTTTTCAAAAATAATCAGTTTTTTAATAATAACTGAGATAATTTTGTAGACATCTTTGGCATATTTGGTACATATGTTCCATGCCTCAAGGCGCATTTTCTGATGTACA